AGCGCCCTTCAAAATTTTTTCCTCTTTTTTTTCATTATTTTTTTATGCCAACTCCAGTGATTTTCGTGACCTCAAAACTTATCCCAAATTTTTATGTATTTTAGGTTAAAAAGATAAAATTTAAATAAAAGATGACGCTCGATAGATAGTCCACCCGGCCCTTAAGTAGAATTAAATAGAATTCCCCTTCACAAAAACCATCATCGATACCTCTTGATCGAATCTATAGAATTAAAAAATTCAAAGAGAATTAGAAAGATTACGTTTTGACGTTTGAAATGGTATCCCTATAAAACTACCTATAAATAATTAGCAGTAACCGTTAATTTTAAAGCGTCAGATAGAGCGTTAATGATCAAGTCATAAATGGATAATACTCACTTCCATTATCTATAACTCTGAAGTTTCCGTAGGTATGAATTACTGTTATTGGAATTGGATCTATATAATTGAGAATTGTTTCCTGTAGCAAGAAAAGTCATACGGATGAGGAAAAAACTTAAAAATACAATTGAGAGAATATTTTTCGATTACCGTTAAATTGGCCGTTTGATTGAAACACACAGTTGTTTCTGTGTCACCGGACCACGAAGGATATGACAAAAATAGCTGTGATTTCTTGACACGATTGAGATTCTCGTCGATATTGATAGTTAAATCAAAACCTTCATATCAAATTTGTAATCAATAATTTATCTGATTTGAACGCTATCATACTTCTAATACTATATGGAAGGTGTCTCACTTTCATGACTCAATGAACCCATTCTCGTGTGATTCACACAAATTTGGACTATGAAAAACGTTGAATTTGTGTCCAATGAAGAGGGAATCGTCGTTACTCGCACATTAGACTTCACTACAGGACGACTGTTTAATACCATAGCGTAATTAGATTTAAATGCACCAATTGCTAAATCTGGAAATCTGCAACATAAGTCATTTCATAATAATATTAATTATTCAAACAAATTCATTAATTATCATTACAAACCCATTAAAATCAATATCCACAGGTTTTGCCAAAGAAAATCCAAAAGTCATAGCGGGTGATGTGACTGTAATTTTCTGGGAGGCAATTTCGAATTTCGATTTGAGTGAAGAGTCACCATTGAAGATGTAAACAACTCCGTTGTCTTCCCATGGGGCGCCCACAATTAAATCTGCAGTAGAAATCAAAATAATTCATTGCTTTATAACATAAAATTTCGAGATTGTATGAATTTATCATCAACTACCATCAAAATCATCCATATCTAGATCTCCACAACTCAAGGAATATCCAAAAAAGCTACCCTCCTTATACCCATTCAAAATCACATCTGCCTCTTCGAATGTCGATTCTGAATTGCCTAAGTAAATATAAACTCTGCCATGATCTTGTCCCCAGTGTGGGGCTCCAATAATAATTTCATCAAGCCCATCATTATTTAGATCACAAGCTGCTAAACTACCACCGAAGAATTCTCCGATCATTGTCCCGTCAAATTCAGCAAGCACAATTCCTGGATTTGTAGTTGGATCTACGATGGCCACCCATCCAACTAAATTAAATCCAGGCGCACTTCCAGCGTACAACAATTGTTGTCTGTTAAAAAAATATCCTGAGGAAACAGCGTATCCGAACATTGAATTGTCATCAAGTTTCGACATGTAAACTGATCTGCTTTGGCCTTTTATGAAGACACTACCAACTAATTCCTCCCGCGGTGATCCAGTTATCATTGCATTGGATGTACCCGCTAAAACCATTGGATAATGCACTGAGAATCCATGGATGGGATTGTACCAAAATTCTGATGTAAAATCTAAATCAGTAAAGTAAAATAAAAAGATCAATTGTAGTGAATCACAATTTGGTACAATTGGTACAATTTTTCGTACTGGACGTCAAGATACTTTTCACACGTCAATATGAATTAATCTTTACCGTGATTTGCAAAATTTTGATCATCCAATTCGAGTCTATCCGCTGTTATATTCCCGCTGTAACAAACGCCGTGCATGCTTTGGAATTTCGTGGTGGAACTGTAAAGAGTAATCATAGTTCGCGGCGCGCAGACCTATTGGCATTAAACATAATTTATTATTATTATTTTTTCAACTTCTGAGAACAACGGAAAAGGAGGAAATGAGGAAACCATATGAGGAAGTAAATTTGCTACTAAACAACTTACTGTTAAAATACTAGCGCCAGGGTCTATAGACATGGAAGCGCCGAACCAGCCATAATCCTTTCTTATGAGCAAATCATGATTGACTGAACTAATGAAATCCTTTTCTTCGGTGAGCTCCTTAGGTTGAATTCGCACAGGTTGAGATTTTTCCAATTGCAAATTATATTTGTATACTAGACCTGGTTCTGCTACTGATGCTAATTTCGATTTCGGGGCTCCAACAATCAACCTAATTATTGGATAGAAAAAAAATCAATATCACAATTTTTCACAAATATTTTATTTATAATGGGAGTTATTATCATTTTTTTACAGAAATTAGTTTAAAGAAGAATTTCAAAATTTTTCAGTATATTTTGTTTTGGTTCTTATTGAAATAAATTAATAATCACTAAATCCTACTTATCCACTGGTGACTTATTCATGAAATATCTATTGCAAAATTACAGAAAAAAATTTAATTGATGATCAAATCGGCCAATTTATCTCGGAGAAATTGATTCACCTTTCTTTCTCACTTGGAAAATCGTTAATAAAGTTGTCGTGAGATTGACGATTCCCTTAATTTCCCTTCATACTCTAATGGTATTTTTATTAATTTTGCTCGCTCCTTACCATGATTTAGCGTGATTATGTTGAGCGTGTAGGAGAATACTATATCCAAAATAAGAGAATGTCGAGTCCTGCAGCATTAACGATGGCTTTTCGTGGATGTTATAAGCCCAAATTGGAGTTCCCCGTAAAATAAATAAAATCACTGTCAAAATCATATTTAATATTAAATTAACATAAAACAAGGAAAATGAATGAACCACGGATTTTTGTTAAATGAAATGGGATCAAATTGACTCATCTGAGAGATCCAAGCACAGGAAACCAATGAGTGATAAGCCAATCAACAACACAAGGTTTTTTGTTAAAAAAAATAATAAAACTGTGAGGACGTTAAAATACCGCAGATTATCTAAAAATCATTTTATTTCTTCAACAATATCAATCAAAATAATGTAAATTAAATATACTCCCCACTACGACTGATTTAGAGCATGGAATTTAATAAAACGGAGATAAAACAAAATATTTATGACAGTATGCTATGAAATAAATTATAAAAGGCACTTGAAAGTTCAAACAGGAGTTCAACAATTAATGGATTAATGCTTTCCCTAAATATTATCACAAGATCCCCTTGGCCTTCAGATGACTCGCATGTTGCTTCGTTGATCGAGAGTTGAATGATTCAATAGGATCGTATCGACTCAACTTTGGACACTGTAAAACAAGTCAATTCAATTTGAATTAATACCAGGCAATTTTCAAGAATTCCCTTTCTCAGCAATAAATCTTCTGCCGATTATTTCTTAATTTAATAAACTTACCCCGGATTGCGTTCTTATTAGCAATGCTTCCTTCATTTTGGCACTCAAATGTTTTTCTCGTTCCTCATGATTAGGATGGGTGGATAACCATGGAATATCCTTCGGCTCTACCTTGAAATCCGTCAGCAATTGCATAATTTTCCAGAAGACAACAGCCTCGCGGACATCGAAGCAAGCCCTCGCAGCCAATCTAATTCCCAAATCGTCAGCCTCTATCTCCGCCTGTCTGCTGTGAGGTAACGTGACGAGAACATCTACAAGATTGACGCCCAGTGCTTGAATAAGAAGTGCAAGTAGATCGGGAAATGTCGCCCATATAATAGCGATTGGTGCTGCCAACAAAATGTCCAATAGAACGTTCCTCGATATTTGTTCAATGGGATGCTGTAACAGCACATGCCCCATTTCATGTGCCAATATTATAGCTAATTGATCGTCATTCTCGGTAATTTTAAGAGCGCCGAGAAATACAAAAATATTGCCACCGGGTAATACATATGCATTTTTTGCGTCTGAAGCGACTACTGATAATGTCCAATGTCTGTCTGTCACTTGTGGCAGATCTTGATTGGCTTTAATTAGACGATCCGTGATCCTCACGAGTCTGACGTATGCAGGATTATCAGATGGAACGATTGAGTCCTGGTGCATCTCCAGGTGAACGTCGAAGGTCAGTTTTCCTAAGACTTTTTGCTGCTCTTTGGTGAGGATTATAAAACGATATCTACCGGTCAAGGGATCTTTCTCCATGTGGGTCAAGTAGAAGAAGAAAAGACCTGCTAGAACGACACCCAAGGCTCCTGGCAAATGCAAAATCTAGTTACTTCATTATTTGAGGCAGTTATATTAAATGAGAGAAAATGGAACAGAAAGAACATTAATAGAAATTCTCATCAGGACTAGATTTTCTTTTTTCATAAAAAATATGAAGAATTCTTAAAAATGATGAGTGACATCACCCACAAAATAATGAAATTTGATTGACATTCTCGAATAGATAAAAATGTTCATTGCGCGTTCCAGTAAAAACATTATCTCACCGTAGATTTTTTGCCTCCTTACGCTAAACCATTTTTTAAAGACCTCCTTCTCCTCTGGAGTTTTTTTTGCCCACCACCTCTTGAAGTACCTCCCAAACAAGAAAGCTCCAACTCTCGTAAGAGGACGAATAAGTAATGCAAGTCCAGGTGGAATATGAAGTCGTTGTGTCGTATGAAATTGACATTTTTTCACTTTGATATTGTCATTGCCTCCTATCAACACTCTAACCTGAGGAACTAATTGCCTGTAACTACCGATAGCACGATCAGAACTGGCTTTAAAGGAAATATTTAGTACTGTCTGTCTTGCCCTCAAAATACACAAAGTCCTAAGCAACATTTTCAAAATGTTTCGTTATAAAATCAATTGAATTTAAATAAACTTGATAAAGACAATGCTATCTTTTCATTAGATCATTAGCTACTGGCTAGACGTGATTTATACACGCTGCAAGGAGTAGTAAATGAAATCCCAATCGTGCGTGATAATGAAACATGATTCCGGCAGCAATACCATACTGTGCAGCAGCGCACAGCATTTTTGGTGAAAAAAATATAGCGATTAGTCTGAGCCAAGTGGGTCTTTGCCTCTGCTGAATCACTAGATTCTGGGGTGTCTGAGCTGGTTTTGACAGGCAGACCAGACTACCTCCATTCGGATGAAATTTATATTGCCATGACATGACCAATTGATTGATTCATTAATCGCCAATATCGTCTTCTGTATTTTGGCTATTACTTTTAAATATAACTCTGAAAGAACACAAAAATATAACTTGTCAATAATAATGATTACCCATCTGCAAGGTCATGAGAATATTGACAGTAACATAACCTAAAACGATAGCTAATCACTTATATTTAAAAATAAATCAACAAAATGCCTTAAATAGCTTAATTTAAAAATTATGATTCTCTGAGTGCTACCTCAAAAACTTTTCTCCTTGATCATTCTACATCCTCTTCGGATGTTTATCCTTGGGTCACTGAGACATTTAGCACAACTATCAATCGACAATCGCAATTTTCATGAAGAAAAACTAACCTTCGTGAAAATCAACGATTCAACTCACACATTCACCAGGTTTTCGTCGATATAAAATGCAATGTTGCAATGTCGAAATATTGAACGTCTCAATTATATGTTGAGGTTGAAGGGGTTGAAGGCACACAGGACGGTGAGTAAACGATCATTCGAGATCAGCTGATCCACATGACAGTATCCATATGATAGATGGTATACATTTACAAGGAATTGAGCAAATCCCAATAGAAATTTTCCTCCATATGCAAATAAGAACATAAACAATTGAAATCATAGCCTTCGTGATCGCAACTTTATTCCTTTATTCTACAGTGAGTGATCGATACACCTTTTCTTCATGTGCTTGAAAAGAAAATAATCTATCGAATATCGGGCGTTATCCAGGGATTACGATGGATTATCGCCTGGAGTAGACTCAATATACTGCTGACTATGCGAAGTTTGTTGATTTTCGAGGTAATCATTGTTTCCATAATGCTCATATTGTTGATTGTCACCATAATGTCCGGCTCCAGTCTGCCCTTGTGCTTCTTCGCCCGATGGCTGATACAAAGTTGGCTCGTACTGCTCGTACTGATTATAATCCTGAGTCAAATAGTCCGCGGGGTAGTTTTCGTAGTTTTGAGGATCCTGGTACTGTGTCTGATCCATTTCCTCCGGTTTTTCTTGGGGATTAGTATAGGGATGCGCATAAGTATCATCAGAGGGTCCTGAGTAGGCCTGCGACTCTTCAGGGTGACTTTCTTCAATTGTAGATTTATGAGATTGTTTAATGTAATCTCCCCCTGATTCGGGAGTTGATAATTTCCCTACAAATTAATTATTTTGAAAAATTTATCAACTGTTCAGTTTTTGATGAAAGATGTACGTAATTGATTTTTAATGGCTTAAAAAATGTTCGCTATTGGTAAACTTGTAGAATTCGAATATTCAATTGAAGTTTATTCAAACCTTTTGGATTTTCTAGAGTATCACAAAATTTATTCGTCAAATGCTCTATGTTGCTTTGTAAGCGGGCCATCTCTTCCCTGAGGAAAATTAATGCAGATGAGATTAACAATAGAATTTATTACCATCTACGAGTATTGATGACGTACATAAAACATAATTCTCTCTAAAATTGGGAAAACTACTACTGTGCTGATAGAGGCGCTTCCGCAGATTTAACGACCACCGACTTTTTTTTCGGATTTATTTTGAGCTTAAGATCGACCTTGACGGTGCGCTTCTTTTTCAAGGGTGAAGTCTTCAAGTCAACGATTCCGTCAGTCGTCTCAACAGCATCCTCTGCCAACACAGATTTTGACTATTTATTTTTCTCAATTTCTACGGAGTAAAACACCTCTTCTACATTTTCAAGTGCAACAGACAGAAAGCAAATTGTTAATTGTTGTTAGCGTAGACTCGCCATTTATTTCCATTTCATTCAGCGAAAATAATAATTACTTGTGCGTGTGGTTGCTAGCTTCCAAACGTTGTGTGAGAGATTGGCATTCGGCAGTCAGTTGAGAAATGAGCTTTGCCTGATTGCTGATAGCATCTTCAAGACCACCCACTTGAGCAGCTAAGGACCATTCAATTCCGTTAGCCATTTTTCCCCCTCTTTCTTTACAGATCTTTAATTGAATTTACTGCCCATGCTAGGAATAGTGTCATCATGCCGATATCCCACACAATTTCAACTGTAATTCTCTAATGCATTATTTTACTTTTAGCTAGTGGTTTTATAGTGAATAATTTTGTGTATTTCAAAGACAATATACCCAACACAGGCCACAATTAACAATTTCTCACCGTGTTTTCCCTCCATATCCGTTATCATTGAGGTAACATCCTTGTCTTTATCCTTCCTGGGAGTTGCTGTTGTTTCCACGTGGATTATTCGAGTCATATTTAGCTGAGAAAAAAATTATTCAATATTTATCCATGAAATATTGCTTTAGAAACAGTTTTCCAATACCAACGCAGAAATTTGAATGCGAAATAAACAAATGAATTTTCGAAAGTATTATTTATATACTTCTTTTTCCAACGAGGCAATTTGTTCAGTCAATCTGAGATTTTCCCGTCGACAATGCACTATATCAGCGTCTGCTCTCTCGATTCTCTGTTTATAAGAGTTGATTTCGGCTTGCCAACGACTTTGCTCCTGACGTGCATGACGTTCGCCCCTCTCAGCACCAAGTTTGGCAGTAGCTAGTTCTTGCTCGACAGCATCTTTCTCGGCTGAGAGTTGTGTCAAGTCACTCTGAAGGCTCGCTAAATTAAAACCAATAGTTTTATTTATTTTCATTTAATTTATTTTGCTAATTCTCGGTGTACAGCAAAGATAATGAAAAAATGAATGATATAGGGTTCCTAAAGCGTTCGCTCACAAGTTTTAGACAGCATTTCCTTCTTGAGATCCTCAATAAACGCCTGCTTCTGATTCAATTCCCTCTTGAGATCGAGGATCTCTCTCCGTTGTTTCTCGATCTCCAATTGTGATTTGGAGGCAGCATCCCAGTGCGTTGCAACATCAGCGGAGAGCTGTTCCATTTGATGTCCATACCTCCTCTCCACCTGGTGTCTCTCCTCAGCCAATCTTCTGCAGGCATCCTGGGTGGCTTCTCTGATCTTCTCCCGTTGTCTCTCCAACTCATCCTTCAGCCTCCTGATCTCCGCCTCTGCCTGACTCTTCTCGAATTCCGCCTGCTGCGCAGAATCCATGGCACGTTTTGCTTTCTGACTGGCATCCGTCTCCCTCTCCCGTGCAGCCTGCAAATTCTTCAGGGTTTCCTCCAATTTCGTATTTGTCTCTCGTTTCTCCCGCATCACTTGCTCCAGCTGAATGACACTCTCTGGACTAGCGGTGACAGTATCCATTTTTTTTAGATTCGTTGTTTTTTCGTCCAGAGCTTTTTTCAATTCAATTCTTGCCTGCGTCAGTTGGGCTTCGAGCTCGCTGATCCTGGACTCGTACATTATCGCGGGCCCATCCATCCGCTGTAATTTTATCTTCTTCCCAGGACTGGACTGAACGTCGAGATCTGTCGATGGCAGGGATTTACTATCGACTTTCTTCACCTCGTCGCAACTCTCATACTCAGTCAGAAAGGCTTTTAGTAGTCCCGTTTTATTTTTATGGTGAAGAGCTTCATTCTCAGCGACGACTTGACGAATTTTGCCGAGGAGGTTCTTCAACTCATCTTTGCAGTAGCGTGACTCCTGCTCTAACTGTTCGATGTACTGCTCCTGGCGCATTATAAAGGATGTTAGCTCTCGTGGTGTAAGTTGTGAGTCTTCAGCTGTTAGGATCGATGGTTGCAGACGAACTTTTTCGGGGGATGAAATACACTCGCTCACTGCACTTCGATCGTCCGTGTCTTCAGCGGACTCATGAAGACGGAGATTACTGCGGCGGTAGATATTTCTTTCGCGATGAATTTTCCTGAAGTTTTTTTATATTAATTCTAATAATGAAGGACATCATATTATCATATGTTATTTTTTTAAATATTACAAATGAAAGGATTATGATATAAATTGTTTACTGCACCGGAGTATTACACTGGCAAAATATTTACACAATAATGACTTCTTGAGAAGGGATGAACTGACGGTCATTAGTTTAATTAATGATTTGGCATTATTTTTTAATTTAGTATATTTAAGTGTCGACATTGTCGTCTAGCTGGTAAAATAATAATACTCAATACTCACCCGGTTGATCTTGGTGTGTAAGACTCGGCCAAGAGATATTTGAGTTTCGATACCGCTTCCCTGTAAGCGGTTTCTGTGTAATCTGGTATTTTCTTCTTTCCAACATCCATCTTCTGCAGTGAGCTCATTTTCCTGACCACAAAAACTCCTCAAATGAACTACAGGCACTAGAAATTTCCCTCATTTGGAGAGTTAAAAAAATCAATAGAATGGATTACTCACCGGGCTCTAAATCGCTTGGGTCTGCCAAAGGGTGCATTTTCGATGTGTGAGAAATTGTAAGCAGCTCTCGGTTTGGTGTAAGACCTAAGTGATAATTTTGGTCGCGTTAGGAGAGTACCTGAAGACGGGGAAACACCGATAACAGATGTACCACTTGTGCGGCATCGTCGTGGATAGTTGCTCGTCGTTAGCATTCCGTTAGCATTATGCCAATGGAAGAGCTATCGGCGCCCTTACATATAAGCTCGGCTGCTTATCTGAATCGATTGAATGGGGCTGAGGGGAAGAGGAATGAGGAACGAGGGATGTGAATGTAAGGCGGAACGCACAGGGCGTCCTGGGGAATCTTTGAGGGTAGTGGGGTTCTTTGACTCGGTGGGAGGGCTTCTCCAAGTCAACCGGGTAAACTGAACTCTGGGTGGAGAAAAGCCGTAACCAGAGACTGGTACGTGAATCGCGTGTGGCGGGGTCATCCGTGCTGAGGAGGGACAGGCACCGTACCATCAGCCACACGCAATTTCCACATCCTCGCTGATTTTTTTTTCACATTTTACTCAAAGTCATTGATCTGATTAATTGTTACAACTTGTCTGTTGAAGAAATTATCATAACTTTAATAGTTCCCTTGTTAATTTAGAAGAACTTCTCTGTTTTAATTCAAGAGTTTCGTAGGAGTTCGCACTCTAACTTGGGAGAATGTTTACAGGCGTTGCGTGAACTGATGGGATTATACGGGGGCTTTAAATTTCTTGATAGAACCAATAAAGGATACTATTAGAAAATTTTGCTTAAATTCCATTTTTCCTCGGCTAAATTTTTCAGTTTTATCCGTAGAGATGAAGACATCGTAAATTGATTCTCAAGCCGCATTCTTGAAATTTTATTGATTTTTTCTACAAAATTACATTACTCTTAAATGTTCTTTTCAACAGAATTCTTAGTATCTGTAGTCAATATCAATCAACCGTCAATGTCCCAGTTATGACATGAGTTTTTACCAATTAAAAAATTAATTTTTCTACACTAGTTTCATCAGTGTATTCGACCCATTTCGTGTTGCTACTCAAATCTTAAACACTGTTGATATGCACAAATTAATATTTTGAAAAATATATTTGAAAATATGAAGAAGCTGGCAGAAACAGATGATGGCATTAACGTGGATATTGACGCAAGACTCAGATTGCCATTTGATTTAGTTATTGTCTAGAGGTATCATTGACGCCCGGATTTGGAGAAGTAACATGATACGGAACTGTCTCGACAGCTGCTTCGAATGTGGGATCGGCTATCAGCGTGGTGTACCCTGGAGTCACTATAATAAAATTTCTTCGTGAATTTCGTCTTCATTCAATGCAGATCCATATCTTAATATTATCATAAGTAAGCATCATTCATTTACCCTCGATTTCGCTATTTTCACTGCTTCGTTTAATGGTAAATATCATTAATACTGAAAAAATCGCAGCTGCACCGCACACGAAGCTCAAAACATCTCGATAATAACTGGGACAACCATTTACACACCGTTTCCTATAAGAAATTGGAAACAAGTTGATAAACCAAACATATGAATATTATATCTTGATAATTTTACTCTTTTCCTTTTTCAGTTTCTATTAATTGTTACTCACGTATACTGGATAATCATAACTGCGATACCATTACACAATTTATCAGTGAGACTCATAGCACCGTATACGAATGCTCCGGATTCGGTATTCGACCCGATTAGATCAGCTGTTACACCCAAACTTGTAACCAACATCACAGATCCTCCACCACCTACAAAAAAAAATGATATTACTCTTACAATTATTGATTAACAATGGAATTAACCAATAGTATGGATTCTCCCTTGTTTTCCTTACCAATTTTTTAAATGATAAATAATTAATAATTACCCAATAATAGTGCCACTGGATAAATAGCATAATGACTATAAAAGTCCCCATGTCCAAAATATATCCAGATACATGCAGCTACGCCCTGAATAGCGCCAATCAGATACGCCCACTTTCGCCCCAATTTCGTATTAATTTTTTCAATGATCAAAGACCACTTGAGACTGCTCATGAACATGATGAATGGTATTACAGCCAGGGAAGTTGCTGGCATCGACAAGCTCTCATGAAGATATAGAGGCACGTAAATCTGAGCTATATTGACGAACAGTCTGCATGACATGTAAACAGAGGCCACCTGGTAAAATTTGTAATCCTTCAGAAAAGATGAGGCTGGCCTCAAGTCTCTCCTCAGTGGACCTTCCATAACAATTCAATTAATTATTTCAATATTCAATTCAACATTGAAGAGAAAGACAGATTCCACTGTTACTTACCTGTTGGTGAACGTTGAATTTCTCTAACAAACGTATGAAATATAATAGAAGTTATTGACCCAATGAATATCCCGATTAAAACGATATGCTGAAACTTTGAGGCATCATTTGGACCAATTTGTTGAGTGGCTGGATCTTCACTAGTGATGTTTAGTACAGCCCAAAATACAACGTAGACGAAAATATTCGCAAATACTGAAAACATGTACCTAGAAGTAAACAGTAGAAACATCATTACAATCACATTTATTCCCAAAAATGGGACGAGTTGTTTAATTTTTCTTTCAATTATTTCATTTCTGGTTGATTTAAGAAATCATAAAACAGTATAGATGCGCATACCTGATAGCTGTGAGCTCTGTCCTCTCGTGTTCAGTAGGTGTCAAATCTGGAATCAATGATAGATGTGATATTTGCACGGAGGCCCAGCCGAATTGAAAAATAATAATGAAGGCAGAGTAATAGATCAGCTGAGCCCAATGTTCTGCATATTCACAGTTAATGCACTTTGAGAATATGAATGGGAAAGAGAATAGCACGCATACAGTTCCTGCAAATGAAAACAATCTTTGGTCATTTGAACTGATGAGTTACTTTTAGAAAAATAGAAGAAATGATGATAAGTACCCAACAAGTGCCACGTTTTTCGTCGGCCATACCTGCACAGCCAGAAATCATCATTCTTGTCAGATTGGAGTCCAACGAAAGGGGTTGCCAATGCATCAGCAATCTGTCCAATGAACAAAACTAATCCGGAGAACACAGGATCAAATCCAAGTACATAATGGAAGAAAACAATTAAATACGTAAACCACATAGAAGCACAAATGTCATTGAGTATATGACCGACTCCATATGCCAATTTCTGTGTTCTCGGGAGACGTTGGATAATTTCCGTATAATCATTTTCTACGGAATTCACCCTGGTATCCATTGTATCCACTTCGTTCTGCCTCTTAAGTAATTTATCGCAGCAATCTTCAAGTTATTCTTAACCTCTCAGACGATTGTCATGACGTTTCGTTGACAATAATAGCTCCCAATAACCAAATACGCAATTATTTTCCTCATTCCATGCTTGTACACTAGTGAACTTGCTTTACACAGATGTTCTGCTTTAAAATCATCAACAATGCCTGGAAAAAAAATAAAACTAAGGATAACAATATATGCCCTATTTTGTTTTTACCGCATGTCTGACACTTGTAACTGTTAGTGACGAAGTCGTGCGTCTCTATGACGGGTTATTCCTTTGATTGTGTTATGTACATATACCTTTTTTCTTGCTGACTCTATAACCGTCTCCCACTGCGTCTACTTCTGCTATGAACTCGTGATGCACTGCTTTCAAATCCATGTCATCGGTGCTTCACGTCCGCAAGTTGGCGATTCCATCATATCTCATCGTTAACGTCATGTGATTCATTTGTTTTTGCAGCAGGAGATTAATAAATCGTACCATCCCAGGATATCAACCAACTTATAAATTTGCCATTCCAACAACTCTATCTGAACTCTCATATTTCTTTATCTTCAAGTGTCAAATAAACTATTCAACGAAAAGCGAAATTAGAGGTAGAGGATATCAAAATTTAAATAAAAATCTCAATTTTATAGCATTGAATTTTATTACGAAAGCGCTTGAGCTTGTACAAAAGTTTTGACTTTACATTTCGTCATCGATTAAAATAAAAATCCAGTAAAACACATGAATTTATTACAGAATCTCATTTCTTACTGAAGTACGACAACTGGTTCGTTCTTTGCCCCTGGAACTTATGATATACTCGATAACTCGAGATATGATATATGATAAGTCGAATGTTACAACCTTTCAAAGATTAATGACAAAAATTAAAAAAATATTTGAACAAACATGAGTGAAAAGTGAGCAATATATGAACAAAATAAAAGTACAGAATGATGACTGGAAATAGTCAAGAGAATTTAGGCAGCTTTAACAGTCTTGGATGACTTCTCCTGGCTCCTGGTGACCGGTGTCTTGGGTGTATTGGAATCCTTGGTCTGCGATGATGAAGCTTCAGCATCCTTGAGGGCTGGCTGTCCAGTGTGGATGATGGGGATGGCCCTCTCGTTTGCGTTCTCGAGGGCCTTCTTCCTGGGTGCTGTGATGGTCAGGACACCATCGGACGAAAGATGCGATTTAAGTTCATCGATCTCGCACTGCTCTGGCACCAGATACTTGCGAGTGAACTGTCGAGAGACGAAGCCATGCTCATCCTGCTTCTCCTCATGTTTACCATCGATGACGACGTTGCGTCCGACGACCTTAACGTTGATCTCCTCTGGAGTGAATTGCTGCACGTCAAGATTCACCTGAAACTTGTCCTTGTCAGCGTGGACAACTGACAATCCTTCTGATTTCCGTGCAATTGCCTTCTCGTAGGGATGGAAATGATGGAAACGTGTCCGTGGTGCACGAAGAACCATGAGACTAGAGTCCAGAGGTGAGATTGAATCGTGCAGGAATTCATTGGCGTTCAATACTCGACCAAAATGCTGGTTGCGCAGGTGATGAGGATGATCCAGGTTTTCCCACCAGTTTGAAAACAACATTGGTAGAAGTGACATTTTTTTTCACTATTCACTTTTCAATTAATCACTTTATTCACGCTTAATATTCACTTGGTGTGAAAAGTTGCGTTGTGTTTACGCGTTAGATGTATAGCTGGAGAGGTGTATTCTCGACGCTTTCTGATTTTCGACTGTAGGGACCCGATCAATTGCGCAGGTATTTATGGCAATGCGACGTCACTTCCGACGCCTCTAGAACCTGCCAGAATGTTTCATCAGAGCATTGCCGATTTTCGGCTATCGATTATTCGTTTTTGAGATTTTAAGGGAGAGGGAATAGCAATTATCCGGATAATACCAGGATTTTTATGGCAAAATGTCGAGGGGGATGGAATGGAAATAGTAGAGCGAGTCATTTTTTTTTCGTCAATTGTTTCCGCATTAAGGAGTTGACGGTTTTGAATGAATTAAAATTTTTGTAGATCACCTAGAAATTTCTATACATCCTAGAATAGAAAATGGATTTGTTCAGTTGTTAAACTGTTTGATAGGACTCCACCGGTATCAATTTTTCAAGGGCGTAATGCCCTTATTTTATAATTTTTTAAATCAGTACTCAGGCTGCCTGAGTCATGCAGCATCCACTGGGTCGTTTACCTGGCGCCAGTGTTGTTGCCAGCCGAATATTCTCGAAGTTCGCCGAACGGCCGAAATGTCTCGACTATTCTTCAACAATCGAATAAAAAAAAAGAAGGATCTCAAGTTGATCCTCTTGGATTTGAATAATAATTGAATGTATATAAAGGAAGAACAACTTAAAAATATTATATACTACGAAATCATTAAAGATGCTTTCGTAAATTTGAGTATTTTCTAGTTCTCGAATAAAAAAAATCGAAATTTCTACTCATCCATTTCAGGAATAATTTTTTGAACATGTTATTTGCATTTATTAAAGTGTAAAATGATTTCAGGACAGCGCAAATTAAAAATAAACGAGTGAATAATTCTCTCGTGAACTTTCAGACTGCTAAATCAAACTTATTTTTGTTGGAGATGAATAGGAAGATAGGTCAATATGGGTAAGATAAAAGCGAAAATATTGGATAAAATTATAGAGACATAATTTTATTAACCTCAGTACGTTATATTTGTGTTGAAACATACATAAGACAGTACTTTCGGCGATGTTTACAGGAAGTAGGTACGTGGTTTACGTACGCTGAATAATGGCATTCTGTTCCTGTGCTGGATTCTCTTTGCCAGTGGGAATCTGATGTGGCTGTCGTGGAACTGCTTGACTTGTGGTCTTCGGCAGTTGGCAGCTTTTACGATCTCCACCTTGATAATCTGAATGGAGTGGGCACGAGCACGATGACGGGCTCCCATATCGCGATAGCACTGGGTAACAGCACCGCTCACTGACAAATCACGGTACTCTCTGTACATGTTGTGGGTACCAGAGCGCGAGTCATACCTCAACCAAATACCGAAGTTCTTGATTTTCGTTGGGGTTTTCTCAGAAATCTAGAAAATTGGAGGAGAAAAAAATTGGCCAGGATTAATAAACTCAGGAATTTAAACTCAATACAACTTATATTAGTAGCAAAAATTGGTGATTAAAAATTTCCAATGATTTGCCAAAAAGAGATCCGATGTACGTTTTTAATTCATCAGTTCGAACAGAATTTCGTAAGTGGTGAGCTCACCTGTTTAAGAGAAACGATTTCTCCAGTTGATTTTTTGAACTTCTTCAGTTGTCTCAAAAAATACCAGAAACGAGATTTAGCGACAATAGCATCGGGAGCGAAAATTCTCATTTTGTAGAGAGGAGTGGTTTTCTCCTTCTCGGTGGGGAGCTTCCTCCCAATTACCTCGTATTCCTTCAGCTAAAACAGACAGGCAGGGAGTTAGGTTATGTTTTTATGGGAATCGAGGTTGCACCTGAGAAACCAAATTTCCAGCAACCATGTAAGAAATAGACATGGAAAAATGAAATCTAGCGTATTCTATATCAATAACATATCTTTTTATGGAATTTTTTATGTAAATTTTGTGATCGTTCAATGGCCGAACCATGCTGCCTCAATAACCTCAGATCATCAAGACATAATCTCGAATTTTCCTCTTAAAATTGAGTAGATAATCCCTGCAGATATCTTTGAAAATTGTTTTTCATAATTTTGACCAAATTTTAAAAATATCTAGTTAAAATTAATGACAAAATAACTCACTTCTCCCTTGGCTTTCATTGTGTCGTGAATTCTACGCAAACGGAGAACCGGAAAAGAGAGTACCAAGTCACAGAAATTCCGGAAGCCATCTCAACCGCCATCTTTAAAATTCATTCAAAATTCCCGCTTAACAGTCTTCATCGACTCAATAATTGAAACAGTTTATTTTTGATTTTGACATTGATATTTATTGTCAAGAAATCGGAACCACCAATCGTCAGAAATATTCATCAATAGATAACATTTGAATTCTAATAACTAGAAGTAAATAAAGTTGTCCAATATGCAAAGAATATTGTGTCATTTCTAAACGCATTGATTCCTTAATGTCAATTCCAATCATGACAAAATAATCAAGAACAAATCGATTTCGCAATATTCATTGAATCATACAATATTTTATACAATCATTAATATAATTTTACAATAATCTATAAATAGTGCTTGCATCTGATATTTCCTGGGATTTAAAATTAATGGTCTTTCCAATAACTCTAGTTTTCAGCATTGCGAATATACCAATTCACACTCAAACTCTGAGACAAAATATCTTGAATGTATTTCCAATAAAAATAAAAACTGACCTGTCGCCAACTCAATAAAATTCCTAAATTCATTCATACGTTCCTCAACCCTGTTATCAGAAAATTGGCACTGATCCTTGGATAATCTATAAAAATTGAGATGGTTTCTCAATTCTCCCTCTCCTCAGTTCCATTTTGGTCGGTTCTAGGGTCATTATCCCTCGTCCTATTCCTACCTAGTGTCATCCGAAACAACCCTTGGGATGATCTGAGTCTCGCCATGAGTCGTCGAAGAGTCCGCCCTGCCTCGGCCCTCTCTGCGTCTGCTCCATTTCTCGGCCAATCCATTGTACCTATCTGCGTAAACATTCCAGGATTGGCTATGTAACCAATTTGAATATTCGTCGACGATGTTGAGTACGGTGTGTGTCTGTGTTGACTGAGAGTTGCCCTCCCTCTGGCCACTCTATTCCCTTCCACTCTCCCCATACTACTATTCAAACTTGTCAAGACATTCGTCTGCCTCTCAATATTATCAATTCTATTCTGCTGCATTCTTATCCTTAACGAAACGATACGATCGAGGACTGCCGCTCTGGACCTGCGTTCCTGATCAAGAGTATCCACATCAGGAACCGATCGATTGGACAATATCAAAGGTCTAGGATGCTCCGACGGTCTCTGGTTATTTCGGTTTAATATACAGGCTCTAATGGCCATGGACATCCTCGCGTAGTCATATCGACTCCGGAGTTCTGAAATTCGAGCATTCCTGGACATCTCTGCACTCATCTCCCTGAATGGAGCAGAATCGGAAGCCTCCGATCCCTCCGGAGCCTGCCTTGCTGGAGCACGAGCCGGACTCTCTGGTAGAAATGGTGGCGACGGAGATACGTCTACATTGACGGGCAGTACAGGATTACCTGAGACGGTTCTATTTTGACTGGGAGCAGCACCAGAAGGTCTAGGATCATGACTTCCAGAATTCAGCAGGGAATTTACCCTTTGAACACCACAATCAGTGACCCGACTGATGATTACAGGTGAGGATGTGGAGGCTCCGTCTCTAGAGTTGGAATTTGGCCAGGTTCCAACAGCTGGAGTTTCTCTACCACTCAAATTCACAGGATTGGATCCAAGTGCATGAGGTGTTGTGTGAATTATCGCTTGAGGTATTGCTTGAGGCGCTGCCTCCGGAGCTGGAGGATTTGAGGAACCGTGAATGGGATTGGTACGTGCTCCATTACTTTGACCATGTCCAACTGGCGGGGGGGTAGTCTCAGAGGTAGTTCTGAATCGAGAGGTTGATCGATTCCTGGAAATTACCCCTTCTCTTCTGGAACCATGGGGATGATTTCGCTGATTATCTCTAGGAATCAAATGACTGTATTTATCCAATTCAGCTTGTGTCAGCTCTCGGGGGTCTGAATCAACTCTGTAAACTGGGATCTGTCCGAAAGGCCGAGTCCTGGGTGTCAGAGGACTCTGCTGATTAATCATCTGTTGCATTTGCTCCTGAACCGTCATTTTCTTCAATAAATCAGCGAAAGGTCTCGTCTCCAGCTTCTTTCTCTCGCTTATCTCTGTTTTCTTCTCACAGGAGTCCTCCTTTATATCAGATGTATCGGGCACTACCTGTTCCTCCTCACTAATGGTTCCATGTACTTTGAAAGTTTCTATGATGACTCTCAGAGATTCTAAAACTTGAACTGCAGTCAGTCTTCGGTTAGGCTGTAAAACTAGGAGATCCCTAATTAAATTAGTTGTCCCCTCAGACACTCTTCCATCATTAGGAATGTGATAATTTGCAGCTCGAATTTTGTTGTACAATGGGGTTGGACTGGTGTCGTAGAAAGGAAAATATCCATAGAGCATCGTAAAGAGAACAACCCCCAGAGACCACATGTCAGAGGGCTTACCTAAGTAGGGTTTCCCACAGAGAACGTCTGGAGATACGTATGCTGGACTTCCTCTTTGGTCCTTCAACAGATCTTTTTCACTAGCTAAAAATGTTCCCAAACAGAAATTCGTTATTGTAACTTTTTTCGTTTTCCTGTTTAAAACGATATTTCCTAGCTTTAGATCTCTGTGGACGATATTTTTTTTATGAAACTCTGCAACGATCCGTACAGTATCAGTGAATATGAGGAGACTCTCTTTCTCGGGTAGTCTCTTTTCCCTTATCATATGGTGCTGGAGATTGAGAAGCTCGTCATTTCTGGGGTTGAAGTCGTGGGATGTGAGACAATCCAGGACTAAACAGAGTCTTTTTTTTATTCTCCCAGTATAGAAACGACCACTGGAAGTTGATTTCTCCTCCAATACTGAGTCCTTGAAAAGCCCATGGTGGTGTACCACTCCATCCTGATTATGAAGCAGGCTCAACAAGGAATATTCCGCATGTAGCAGCATCTTTCCTTGACGATCGTCTTGCGATTCATGCTCGTTGCCGTTCTTCAGGGTAAGCATTTTTATAGTGTAGTACTTATCAGTGCCTTCCTTCCTGGCTAGACACTGGATAATGGTCTTAACAGGACATGTTCCTATGAGAGGTCCCAGGATGTACGGCCCAGCTCTCCTGATGATATTGGGGCTGACTGGAGGTCCGTAGGAAGGCACTTGAGTCCCGGGATTAACTCCCTCACTGGATTGGACTGATTGAGGAGTAATTCTGCTTGGTCCTGCGCGATTAGATACTAGTTCAGGCACTTCTTGAACTTCACTCGTATTGTCTGAAGATTCGTTTCCGTGAAGAATTGGGCGCTCGTAGCCGACTGCCCTTGGAATGTAGACGTTATCTCTAGAGTCGTAGCTATCATCACTCAAGTCATAAATATTTCGAGGCCCACCAATGTTTCCTCGAGAGGATTGAGGCTCCAGAGAGTCACCTGAGATTGAGTTAAAAGAGAGAGTGTTCGTAGAGTCCAGTGAATTGGTACGAGTTTCCATCAGTGAACCAGAAGAAATGGTTGTGGGGAGGGCAGTGGTGTCAGTCTCTGTGTAGGGAACATCAATGGCCAGGTTCAGAATGTCTGACTCAATGGGCTGGGGCTCCGGGAGATGATCAGTTTCTACTTGGATTGATGGCTCATCGCTGGTGTCCATTGTCTCATAACTTGGCTCTGATGGAGCATCGGAGTTTCGTGTTCTGTCCCCATCATTCTGAATTCTCGCTGGCATTTCTATGGATGAACATATGAACTAGACAATCAAAATAGTACTTGTCATAACATCAACAATTTTCTAATTTTTTTCTTGACATTCGTAATAATAAAAAATATCTCCCTTATTTTCTTCTTACTGAGGACTACAAATAAGGAAAATATTGTCAACCAATGTAAGTTAATATTAGTTGAGTAAACAGAACAGCAATATTGTTGATAAAAATATATTAAAGTTTTCCAAGAGCATTTACATTTCTATGAAATTAATGTAAACACTGGGAATGTGAAAAATTGTATCATAATTTTACTATTACCTTAAAAGAATGTAAGAGTTGAAATCCAACAACTTTCTAATTACGATGTCATCAAAACCATCGAAATTCTTGGATAAGATTAGGGACAGGTAGATCTGAGTTATGTCTGAGAGGTTGGGTGAGGCTAGGTGTGTAGTTGATGTTTAGGACCAACTGTATCATCAGTGGATCAGAAAGAGGTCTCCGTAGTGTCCCAACAATTGCCATTGTGGAAACTCACCCCAAGCCTAGAATTTCCATTTTATTTAACGCATTCCATTGTTTTTCCTTCATTAATTCGCAAAGATAAATGATTTGTTTGTTTTTTGATAAGTGTCAGTCTTCAATGATGTGAGATGAGTAGTTGAAGATTGTTATTTTTAGTGATAGAATTCGTTAGAGGCGTGATTTGGTGAGTGGTACGAGGCAAGGACAAAGCTAACCCATAAAAATAATAATACAATGGCTGCAGCAGCGGCTGCCGCACTCCTTGATGAATTGATGGGAAGGAATCGCAATGTTCTTCCTAATGAGAAGCCTAAAGAGCTCAACTGGGAAGATCCTGAGGTAGTGATGGCTTTTAGACGCTATTATGAATTTTGATGTTTCATTTTATTTGTGGATTGATTTTATTCCTTCCGAATTTTTGATGATTCTTGCTAGTTTTTACCTGTGTGGGGCACAACAAATATTTTGTTTGTTTATGACTCTGTCATGTATTGCTTTTTTTACAGTTTTGCAAACTCTATCTGGTGAAATTCTGTCCCCATGATTTATTCGTTAATACCAGAGCAGATTTGGGCGCCTGTGTTCACGTTCACGATGATGAAGCTAGGGATTTATTTGAGAAAGCTCCATATTCATATAGAAAACAACAATACGAGGATGAGTTCATTCGGTTTTGCCAGAGTATGCTCAGTGAGGTGGAGAGAAAAATCGTCAAAGGGAAGCAACGACTCGCTTTAATAGGAAAGACTGAGGCAGTGAGTTATTAATTATATGCCCAATTGATTACTCCTTTCACACTCCTTTCTGGTGATAAATCAATAATCGTTAATTTTTGACATTATCGTAGCCCACTCTGACACCAGCGCAGACACAGAGAAATGAGGAGCAAATTGCTCTTTTGACGGAGAAGATCAATAAATTGGTGGAGGAGGCTGAACAAAGTGGTATCCAGGGAAACGTGGAACAAGCACAGGGGCTCATGAGGCTGTGTGACCAGCTCAAGGAAGAACGAGAGACATTGAGAAAGTCTAATGATAATAGTCATTATAATCAGGTAAAGGAATGAGAAGTGCTTGTTCTCATCTATTGTTTGTCATTTGAAAATTGAGGAATTTTTCAATTTTTCAAAAACGTTAAAAATATTGCTTGAAAACTTATGAAGTAGCCTTCATAAGTTTTTTGTGATTAAAAAATGCTTCCTCATCCAAACCTATTGCTAGAAAGAGCTTGAAAAGTCGTTGTCATGTTTTCATTTAAAACACTTGCAGACTGCGGAATTGGCAGCTGCACAGGAGAAACAAATGGAGGTGTGTGATGTTTGTGGAGCATTCCTAATTGTTGGTGATGCCCAACAACGTATAGATGATCATTTAATGGGAAAACAACACGTCGGATATGCTAGACTCAAAAGTGCACTTCAAGAAATAATGGTATTCATCATATTTTTTATAATGCATGTTTCTGCTACTGAGTGATTGATATTGTATTCAGGCGAAGAGAGAAAAAGCTCGAGATGAGAAAGAACAAAGGAGAGATGAAGACAGGAAGCAAAGGGCTCGAGTAAATGAAGAGATTGAGCGAAAACGACGTGAGACTGAGAGAGAGAGGGATCGCGATCGCGACAGGGAAAAGCGTCGTAGACGTGACGACGACAAAGTTCGCCATGATTTCCACAGGTAGATAAGATCATCAGATCTATTAACACGATGCTTATTGATTTGTGAGTGTAATAACTAATTTGGAGTAATTGATTATTAGTAGGAATGCGAGCCACCAAAGTCGAAGCAGATCGCGTGACCGTCATGAACGTCACAGAGAGGACGAGAATCACAGACGTCACAATAGAGATAAGGGTATGCCGTCAATTCATCTAGAAGTCTATTCTTAATTTATTTAATTCAAGGGCACATTCAATAGAACGGATAATTATTCGGAGAATTCTCTGAAAAGGCATTAGATCTACTATGTGCAAAGTTAATATCTTTTTGCAGGGAGCCGTGATCATCGAAACTCCAATAATTATGGTCGACGTCGACGCCGGTCAAGAAGTCGAAGTCACAAGTAACAACTCTTGATTGGTTAGTGAGTGAGGAGTGATCCAGGTATGCACTAGAAAAACATTTGATATTAACGTGTCAATTACTGTACAGGTATTCCACCAGGTGAGTTTAACTAGTAATGCACATAAATGTCAATTATTTACATGTTGTGATTTATAAAAACTCAATAATCCAGAGTAGAAAAAAACATACACCCGATGTAAATTGACAGAAAGCATCTCTTCGTTTTTGCGACACGAGTTGAAAATAATTTTGAAAAAATTTTCGAAACGATATATCATGGTATACAGAAAAATTAACGGAATTAAAAAAATTTAATGGAGAATGGAAAAATGAATATCCGATGAATTTTAGATAGTAATTTACAGCAGAGCAAGGTGGGAGAAGGTATACCTATCCTTGCTTTGATCAGGAATATGAATTGACAATAAAAAATCGAAGATCATGCCAAAAAAAAATAATTGGGTGCAAATAACTTCGACTACTCCATAGATTCTATTTATATCGTTTTGTTTACTCTCTTAAAACGTGAAAGAATACAAAAGTTAGTGGTTTAGTGAAGGAATCAGTGACTACTACCTGTAGCACCTGCAACGACAGTGTCCTGTGTGACTGTGACTATACAATCCTAGCTTCTGCCTACAGATTTATGAGGTATTTATGTCGGAATGATGATGCCAAAACAATGTTTTATCAGAAGGGGAAATTTTGTTAATCGTCGAATAGGGGAAGTTTTCTTTGTCATTTTAAATAGCAAATAAGAGGCTCACTTTGTCGAATAACTTCGACGAAATAATTTTCACGCGATACACATTAATGATTATTATAATTGGTGACGGTTTAACCGATAAATTTCATTTTTACAGATTAATTAAGCCTCAAGTAATGTGCGATACATTTTTTTTGTGTTAATTTAAGGCATCTGTGTGCTGTATTTTTCAATACATAATTATATTTAATGACTACTAGAACTTGTAACATTGAAACCGTTTAAGTGAAATTGGATTGTCTATTTCCAGAGTGATTGACGAAGGGAGGACCTGAACATGTGTAAACGCTGGTAGACAACTCTCAAGAATCCAGCTTAAAGTACCTTTGAGGTAAAGATTTTGCATAATCTTGAACAGCAAATGTTTAAACTTGTTAAACCGAGAAATCACTCGATATTAATTTCCATTGAATTTCGCAATCAACGGTCTAATTCGTCGGATCTGTAGATATGCTATTCCTTACGTCACAAATTCAATAGTTCAAATTTCCAGTTTTGAAAATTAGCTGTTAGTTTTTTTTTGTCCATGAATACGGGTTCAGCGACTACTTTCCATCGAAACAATGAAATTATACAATTGTTATATTTAGGCTGTCCATTGCGCTGCAAAAAAATTCAAACATACATTTTTATGTGAATTGATTGGATTTGTAATTACGCCGAACGAGAATTGTTATTTCTAATTGAATAAATTTCAAATTAACTCAATCAATCATTTATTACTCACCCAATAACAATCTTAATCGTAATAATACAAAAAATAAAGAAAACTTAATTGATTTTTCTCTCTACACAGCATTCGGAGTCCAATGAGATATAATTCTTCACGCTGCTGCACATTAAATGGAATAAATATGTACATAAAAATTGATTGGCATAATATGAAGGACTGAATTGCAAGAAATTGGAAAGTCCCTAATACTGCTGGTAGTATTTTAAAAATAATGATGGACTCATTCCAATCATTTGAGACCAATAGTTCTCGTAATTTGCTCGTACACAGTCCATGCCATAGTGGTCATGAGCGTTCTCCTGAGCATCCTGGGAACGATACCTTTGAAATATCCCAGAACTCCATATTTTTTATATACAAACAAAAATCCACTGTAGGCGCTCTTAAACTCGAGGGGGTATAATTGCATTTTGGTCTTTACAACATCTGCTGGATGTGTCACAATGGACGCAAAAATTCCAGCCAAAATGCCACAGCCGAAGTTTACAGTCACCATTTTTTTATTATCTAAAGCTGGAAGAGAAAGTTTAAAAAATTTGTTTGAAAAATGTTTCAATTATGAGAGATTTACATTCTGCAATGATAGAAGACAATTACCTAGAGAAGACACTTCTTTCAATTGAGTGTAAAACATTAAATAGAGTCCACTATAAGGTGCATCCCTCAGGAGAGTGGGAGCAAGTCCACTGGAGAGTCCTCGCATACCTTCTTGCTTGTAAATCAGTCTAAGGGCTTGGCCAATACTCTCATATTTGTAGAATCCACTTTCGAATCGTGTTTTTACAACAGTGATCGGGATTAATAGGCACCCTGACATGGTCCTTGCAGTGATCCCGAGTGAAATAGCTTGAAGGGGTGTCAGTGGATCTCGCAAGTTCATACTGTGTTTTAGATAGTGGATGGAGGAGAAATAGAGGCCGACTCCTGGGATCACCCTAGTAATAGACTGAAACAGATAGAATTAATTAAGTCACTTTCAAAAGGGTATCAACAAACTTGGGAATACTCGATCATTGTCATTATGAAGATTTCAGAGAAATTATTATTGTAACTCACTGGTGTCATGCCCCTCCATAATCCCAAGATGTTTTCCTTCTGGATTATGTGAATTATTGTGGTCAGCATTGGATGCTTTGGTGGACTGGAATAATTAAACAGATGAGATATTTTGTTTGTCTCGGTGTCGGATGACTATTCCATTCAGAATTATAGTCTTAGAATTATAAGCTTGGAAAAATTTGAGGAAAATTTGTAGGGAGTAAATGAAGTCTTACCACACATAATTGTTTGCCACTGAACTCTGAAGTCTCGTTTTGACGAGGTCCAAGGGTTGAAATAAAATTGTTGAAAAAGTCCCGGAGAAAGAACCAGCGAGGAATGATTTCAATATGGGATACTAAAACAGATATTTAATCAGTTATAAGCGACCTGTAATATAAGTTAAAGAAAATTAAGATTAGGGAATGCTCAATCATCTTGTTTGTAGCATGGAAAATGCCTGTGGGTGTTATTGCGGATTGAATTCATCGCGTGACTAATATATACATTTTTTATTATCAAAATGGCGATAAATCGAAGTCATGTGTGGTGTATCTCGGTCGGGTGCCCTCACGTGAGCTCAAGTGAACTCTAGAGGTCAACATAATTATAATTTTTTTTTTGTCAATGGAAAAGCGATGGAGAGTTATCAATTGGAGTTGTAGTTTTTTTTACGGATTTATGGCCGAGGTCGAGTGGACAGACTCACTGAAAAACGTGTCTGAATTTATCTACCGAAGGGTTATTGCCATTTTTTATTGCAATTATTCTACTGCAATATGAATAACTAGCTTCATAAAAATTCGGTAGACATAATTGACATTTGTAATGATCTCGAATCGATCCTGTACCGAAAGGCAAATTACGCTTAAATATAGTCGATCATAAGTTACGCTAGTAGATTAAATTTTTCATTGAAATTTCCCAGTTTTTGATCCCCATTATGTGTTCAATTTATTAACCACATTAATGTCTAATTCTTACGAACAAACACTAAAATACTTACAGCAGTCACAGTATCCATAGTAAATAAAGCGGTCTTCTGACAAAATTAAAGCTTGGCACCAATCGGTCAGGTAAGCAGAGAGAGAAATAAAGAACAAAATAAGGAAAAGGCGCCTGGCTCAGCTTCGATCAAACTGAACCCCATAAAACAACCACAGCTACTTACATCCTCGCTTATCTCTGTTGCTTCACCGTGCGGGTCAACTAAATGACCCTCCATATCATAACATATTGGAGTCAAGTTCCGGGGTATCGGATGAAATCGTGATCAAAACGTGACTTTAAACAAATGTGATGAACTATTTTCATTTGCTGCAAGGATTTCTCCACTGACCTCCTATCGTTATTTTTGCCACCTCCCCTTTGCACCAATTGTCTTCTCTTATTTATCATAACAATCGTCATCACGTTTCCCTGCAACAAATATTATTCCCAGAGCTGTTGGAGTTGTTAAAAATTTCCACAACAATTACATCACCTCGTGACAATGAAAATAAGATAGGCATCCCAAGGGGAGAAGAATGCGTCAATCAAATAATTAACTGAATAACAATGTCTCCATAGGATAGCAGTAAATCGAAAAGGGATTGTAATTTTAAATAATTGGAATTTATCATCATTATCAGTACGATGATCACCAGTTTTTCCTCGAATCTTTAGACAGTCTAATTCACGATTGAATTTGTAGTTATACTACAGATTATTTCATTGCTAAAAAGCCGAAATTGTTTATGGGATCAACACTTCTTACCATAAATCGCTCAAAATCATTGTATAATTTTCCACGATATTTCACACAATAAATTAGCACACAGTCCACAAAATATATTATTTTTGATTTCCTGAACCTCAAAGAGAGAGAGAGAGGGAGAGAGAGAGAGACAGAGAGAGAGAGGTGTCGATGGACGTCTGTGTCTAGTCATCAAAAAACCTGACATGAGGAAATTTAATTATTATAACCAAAATATTTGCTTTCAAATAATAAATTTAAGAGAAAGAAAATTAATGAATCGATTTTTCCGAATTTTATCGGCCACTTTCATGGTAAAATTTTGATTAATTAATTACAAAAGGTCCATTAATTCTGGAGCATCAGAAAATGATAGACAATGACGTGATAACGAATTAAAAACCATTTTATCCATTATTTGTTTAAAAGTAGGATTTTGTCGGCTAATAGGAAACTGCTATAATTATGAACACTGTCGGCCTTGCACTGTTTTACTTACAGATACGGACTCTGATTTGGTTCATACGCCACCGCTATGAAATATTCCTGTTGTGGCCGTTTTATAAGCCCCAGTAATCTCCCTATAATCTCTGTTATCACGGCAAGATGGGGAAAATCTATGGTAAATCAAAATGAGCCCCCTGTACAGGATTACCGAAAAAAAAAGACAAGTAGGCTAGACCGACGGACAATAGTTACAGACAACTCACGACGTCATACACGTGATTCAACCTGCGTTATAAGTTTTTCTTTCACCCAAATGTGATCATCGAATCCTCGCCAATACCAAATGTGAATAAATGGACATACGTTGAGCTCGTGTGTATCAGTAATCGGTTGAAATTGTCGTAAGTACTAATACAGTGTAAACCCATTAAATCGACAGATATAAATAGAATTGGGGTGGGCTTATCGTCGTGGTGGCTATCTCTTCTCAATGCCCGCTGGCTCTGTGTGTACGTATATGCCTGAGTTGTATGAGATCACGATTCAGGCATTATGACGGATTCACTGCAACAATCAAAGTCGGATCCTTTGGTTTACTGCAAATACTTGAGAAAGGACGCGCCCTAGATATGTGCGGCTCATCGCTGGTGACATTTTCTCCAGTGAAAAGTGCTAAATCCAATTAAACATTAATTTCAAACATTATATTGTTGATTTTTTATAAAGGAGGGAGTGTTTGTCCTGTGTCAGTGGTAGCAGATATATATATTTTTTTATTCATCCAAGTGTCAAATTTCACGTCAATCATGAAGAAACAATTCTTCCGAGTTAAACAACTAGCTGATCAGACCTTCTCCAGGTGAATCACTCTTTAAATCTCTCACTTTAGATTTTTTAGCTAGACTACCATGGCAGAGTTTTTATGATAAAACAAATGATTTTCATGTGTGCACAGAGCCGGAAAAACAGAAGTGCTTACTGATGATCTGCAGGCAGCGGATAAGCACGTCGAGTTGATAAGAAATGCGCTGACTGGACTCAGCAAACGTCTGGGTACACCACCCAGTGCCGCCCTGGCTCAAGATACGTCGCTCAAGGAAAAGCGACTGGTAATTACCGCGAATTAGCCAAAAATAATCTTTAATTCCTTACTTAATTATTTTTTTAATCTATTCTTGTAATCTTCTCAGAAAAAATGTCCAGAGTATGTCCTCGGGCAAACAATGATGGACTGTGCAACTGATGACGGTTTAATGAGTTATACATTAGCTGTTTGTGGTCGTGCCCAAGTGTTGCTTGCCACTGAAACAGTCGATCATGAGGCCAAAGTTGAACAGTACGTGGCCGCTCCACTTCAACATATTTTGGAGACTGACGTACCGAATATCGTAAAACACAAGAGGAATTTGGCTCGTTTGATTTTAGATATGGATAGCGCGAGAACGCGATATCATCAAGCGAGTAAACACAGTGCTGGAGGTGATTCATCAGTTGTTAAGTTTATTTACATATTTCATAATGTATGCGTTGTATTCATACTTACATTATCCGCATTCCTCTGGATTTATTCTCCACTTTAGGCACTGCTGGCACTAAGATTGATAATTTGAGGGAGGAACTTGAGGAGGCTGAGACAAAAGTCGAACAGTGTCGTGATCAATTGGCTGCTGAGATGTTCCAGCTTATGTCGCGGGAGACGGAACTTGCTCAAAGAATAATTCAATATGTCAAGCTTCAGCGAGCTTATCACGAAAGTGCCTTATTCTGTCTCGAGGATCTTATTCCCGGATTAGAAAGCTACATTAGTGAGTTGTTCTGTTCAAATTTTCTTATTCCCACCTTCGCCTAAAGCAATCATAACCGTGTCGTTGAATTTTACATCGACAATATATTCTTGGTGATTTATTGATAAATAATATCTCTCAAACTCCTTTATATCACGTTCTGTTCGATAACTTTTAAGTAGCAATACGAACTTCACTCGTTCCTTAGTAAAAACATTTATTATTAAATTTCACTGAAATAATTTTCGGATACCAGGAAGCCTAGTCACTTCCTCGCTTGAATTATTTTTTTCTCTTGGAATTAATTATTTGAATGATGTCTAGACGATAACGAAATGAAGCCTGTATATGGTCAACTCCTGGAAGAGCATCTACGAGTGACAAATCGTAAAATAGCACTTCCAATTCAACTGTGTGTATCAGCACTTCTTAGGCTTGGCATGGAGGAAGAGGGCTTATTCAGGATAGCCGGTGGTGCGTCTAAATTACGAAGAATTAAACTCAGTTTGGACGCATGTTGTCTCACGTTACCAACGGCATTGGAGTACAAAGATCCCCATGTTATTGCTGGAGCGCTTAAGTCATATCTACGTGAATTACCTGAACCACTTCTTACCTACAAGTGAGTCAACAGTTTTCACTTATTTTTTATTTATTCGTTTTCTTGGAAAATTTATCGGTAATTTCCTCGGTCATTGCTCTGATAAAGCGAATAGAGTGTATGTGTAAAGTGAAATTGTTTTGATTCATTGAGTTGTATTGTGAGGACGAATTAGTTCGTCACTGACAAGGGAAATCATTTCAATTGATCCGACCTCGGACTCTCACTCGCTCACACACTTCAGAGTACGTTTGAACAGATGTAATCCAGACTGAATGTAATGCAATTTATTTTTTTGTCTCACTTGAATACTTCACAATCATTTCAATCCCTCGATTGATCGAATTAACGTACAATGAATGAATAATCTTTTTCCACCAGGTTATATGCAGAGTGGATGGCAGCTGCTAAAATAACACAGAGTGATATCAGATTGCGGGCACTGTGGGAAGTGCTTCATAAATTGCCACCGGCTAACTTGGAGAATTTGAGGTTTTTGATTAAGTTTCTAGCAGTGCTCACAAAGAACAGTGACGTTAATAAAATGTCACCGCAAAATATTGCTATTGTGATTGCACCTAATTTGATATGGAGTCCGCAAGAAGATGTTAACACCATGGTGTAAGTTTTTACCATTTAAAAATAATTAATGAAGTAATAATAAATAATGAAGTAATAATATTGGTATTGGTAATACTTTCTTTTCAGAATGAACATGAGTACCGCTAATAACTCTAGTCTCATAGTGGATCAACTAATAACATACGCGGACTGGTTCTTCCCTGGTGAGATAGACTTTGATCGCGATTTGGATGTGGGCATTGTGAATGGCAATGAGCCTCCGGTAATTGGCATGCGAAGATGCATATCAAACAGCAGTTTAAGTGATCACGGCGAAAGTCCACCGCAGGGTAGTCCAAAGCCAGCAACAAGGCGAAAAAATAAGCCAGCACCAACACCCCCGTATGCAACACCGGACAAAAACGAAAAAAGAATGGATGATAAACCTCCCCCAGCCCCTGACAAGCCTCCAAGGCCCCTAACAACAGCAACACTTAATCGTCATACTTATAAGGCTCAAAAACACGAAGTCAATACCGAACTCACTACCCATCACCACGAGCCGAAAACAGAGAAGATGGAGAAAATTGAGAAAATCGACAAGATTGAAAAGAGCATGGAATTAGAGACGAAGGGTTTCGAAACGACAGCGAATGACAACTCCTCTCCTGACAATAATGACAAAATGGAAACACCAAAGTTTGATAATAACATAGAAATAAAGTGTAAGAACTCGGATTCATCCGAACCAAAAGGCAAAAACTCCGATCCAACTCCCCCCATTGGTTTCGAGGGCATTAGCATGCGAATCAACTCAAGTACGAATCAATTCAGAATTTCTGACCCTGAGAATGGTGATGTGCAGAAATCCAAACCAGTACCAGCTGAGAAACCATCACCTTCGACTTTAGAAAGAAAGAGGGTACCTGTGGCAGCTCCACGGACAACTTTAGTGAGCGTAGGGCATCAAAATTCAGGTATAACTCGTTTTTAATTATTCCAAATGAGTGTTGCCACTTAATGATGTGGAATTCGATTTTCTTCAATTAGTTCTACAATTGTTATTTTATTTTCTTTTTCCAATTCAGATGATACAGTGGAATTAAGAAAAAAAAGTGATTCAATTTCTGGAGAGAGAAACAGCAAACCAGCAATTCCTGAACGACCAGCAGGACTCACTCGACCCTCTAGCCTCATCAGACCCCACATGCGACAGAGCAATGAGAACTTGGACGTCGACGTTGGAGTAAGTTCAACACCGTAAATACATCCCTATGTGTTTTATTTTTTTATCTTATAATCAAGCATGAAAGTGGCTTTTTTATTGTATCTATTTTTGTATTAATCTATAATTTTGTATTTGTCTCATTAAACTTGATTTCTCTGGTGGGAAATTTCTAATATGAATTGTTTTTTTATTGCACGAACAGGGTGATCTACCCATTGTTTAAATCAATGACATTTCAAATGAAGAAAAACGACGATTTTTGCATTACCCTTATGAAACCACTAGATTTACAGCAGGAAAATGCTACAAATGTGTTCACCATTGATAAAAATTCCGAATTACATGCAATGATTTATATTCACTTTTACAAAATGAATAACTTAACATATTAAATTAATTATTCGATGATTCGCTCCAACAAATATGCGATGTTTCTATAGTCTAGAACTAATCTTCAACTACCGAATTTGTTCTTCAATGTTCAATTAATTTGTTTTATAGCCCATAACACTGGAGAGGGCACACATGTACTCAGTGGATAAACAACAGGTCAGTATAATCCAAGTGCGTGGAAATAACTTGACGAAAACTACGATCGAGAGCAATGGAAACAGCGCTTCCAACTTGCAGAGAAGTCCAAGTGTGGGGAGCCGGCCATCGTCAATGGCCCTGAGTGGTGAGCGTCCAGAGAAGCCACCGAGACCTGACATGCCTGAGCAAAACAAGTCCCACAACAGAACTAGGTCAGAAGGAAATATCATTGACGTCCAGACCCAGACTCAGACTGTCATTGTTCCTAAGTCACCACTACAAATTCAAACCGGTGAAAAATCTCCGAGATTTCATCAACGTCCACCACGGCCTCAACCACCACCCCCACCGCCTCCAACAAATCGACCTAAATCCGATCACGAAAGTACTAATTTATAGAGTCGGTAGATAGAGTTGGCAATGTTGTTTTTTTTTCGATTTTAATAGTTTTATAGAATTGAAAATTCATGTCGATTTTTCAACTCGAAGGAATTTAGTGACGTTCCACATTCAATTGAGAGAGGATTTCTTGGAGAGTTATAGAATTATGTCAGAGGCAAGCAGAACACCATAACGAATGGATATCATTGTAAAACTTAATGACAGATTATTTTTAACGTTAGTTTTATAGAAAAATGTTGATAGCCTTTTCTACAGTACTTGAAATATCGGCTTGTCTAATTTTTTAAGAATATTAATTTTCGAATTTTTAATACTATAATTCCTTCAAGAAATTTCATCCTCACACGACATGTTTTCATGCTTCCTCAATAATTCAGAACTTTTGCGTCATGAGATATTTTTACTTCTGAACTAGGATTTTTTACATATACATATATATATATATATATGCAGAAACATGCAGTTCAAAGAACTCATTCAATATTTTTAAAAAGTGAAAATCACTTACAAGTGGTCCTGATCACTGCAGCATTAATAACCAGCAGTATGGAATTTAGCGCACAAAACTGGAGGTGTGTTTTTTTCCTTTTAGTTCAGTCGTCTAGTAACTGATGGATTCTCCGAATTCGTTTATTTACTTTTGATGATTGCAATTGATTGTTTATCGGTGCGTCGACTGTGATTGAAAGAAACACTACGATAGATTGAATGCAATTTATTGTGAATTTCTCCTCTTACAATGATACAGAAAGAGAGAAAGGAAACAAGCAGCTAGTTATATTAATTCAAGAAAATAAGTTTATAAAATACTCTTTTTTTCACTTATCCATTACATTTCGTTGGCATTGCTTAGATTTTTTACCCCAGCCCACGTTTGAACTAATATCGTGATTACCATTTACGATTAGATCGTGATTTTTATTCCCATTTCATGTTTTTTTTAATTATTCGTCGACTCGAAGAATTGATAGAAATTTTATTTACCATGATTGGGTAGAGTAGAAAATATAAAAAAATTTAGAGTTATTGGTTTATTGAAATCTTTTGAAAAAAAGCCAATGGGTTAATTTGGAATCGTCCGTTGACTAAGAAATTTTTCACCGGCGCACGCATTTACCTAAGGAGAGCTTAGGCTGTGAGTATATTGGAGTATTAAAGGATTTATTTGTTTATAAATGAAATAAAAAAGAAAACCAACAAAAGTAATACAAAAATGTGTTCTCAAAGATAAAGCTTCAATGACGTTTTCCCACCGTATATTTCCAACATCATTTAATAATCCATATTAGAGATAATGCAATGTTGCTTGACATTATGAATTAAACTAATGAATTAGATTAGAGTACAGCTGCAAGTCGTTCATCGGCTACTTGTTTGGGTGTGAGTCCATCATGATCCTTAAGAGACTTGGCCCCAATCGACAGTAGATACTCAACGACATCAGCGTGCCCACAAGAGGCAGCATAATGAAGTGGTGTTTGTCCATCATTATCCTGGGCATCGATGTCAGCCCCCCTCTCAATCAGACACTTGATAGTGAGCATGTGGCCTCGATCAGCTGCCCAATGGATAGGCAACATATTGCTCTCATCAGGACTATTAACAATCGATGAATTGCGCATCAGTGTCTCTCTGACCTTGTCCTCGTTGCCTTCCTTCACCCAATCGAGCAAAGTCTTATCGCCATCATTCAACGTATCATCGGTATTCACCATTGAGCTAACAGCAACCCATGCCCTACCTCCAATTTTGGACTCGTCCTCCCAATTGTCATTTAATTTCTTTAAAGCTGAAACGTACTTCTCCATTGCCTCCGCCTTTCCCATGCTACCAAGACTCCTCCATGCCTCCCACTTTTGCTTCGCCTGTGCCTGATACCAACTTGGTTTGGGTGTGTCACAGGGTCCCACAGTTGCCTGTTTGTAGAGCCCATAGAACCCAAGCAATTGTCCAGAATCCAGACTCGCCACTAAACTCTGCAAATGATCAGCAGCTCTGCTAAACCTATTTTCTAAATCCGATAAGCTCCCCTTCTTCGCCATCATTGATCAAGTTACTCTAAACGATGGCAATTATTGTTCAATTATTGGTCATTGGATTCCCAGTAATGTTTAATATGCAGATCAAAGCCCTCAAGATGATGATTCGGCTTATTCAGAATGGAGTGGTAAGTCTCATTATCAGGAATTTCCAAGTAACCAATGTTCTTGCTCAAGCCTGTTCTCTTGTCGAACACCACTTTGGCCTTGGCTATGTGGCCAAATTGCGAGAAGTATTGTTTCAGCTGATGATCCCCAACTGTCCACGGAATGTTAACAATACGTAGTTTGTTCAAGGCTTTAGCAGCATTAGAAGCCATCCTACTTTGCGATATCGACGGATTTTTCAACTCTTACGTCTGATATCGAGCAGATGGATTGTGTGATCTTGCATCAACTCTGCAAGAGTCACACCTGAATCAGCGCCAAGTCCTACAAGAGATATGTGTGTGCAGGATAATCCCCACTTATTCAGCAAATGCTCGATTGACCAGTCTGCACTACGTTCTTGATAAGTACAGAGGAACTTGGCGTTGGGATTTTTTTCAAGGAGAAATGCAACAGTTACGACGATGTCCTCGAATACCGAAGGCTCGTAGAAGCAGTCTGAGCCGAGAATTATGTCCAGAGGACCTATGGAAAAGAGACTTGATAAGAATAACCCCCAGGTTATTCCTATTACTTTCACTTGGGATAGAACTCCGTTGAGCTCGCAGCTTCTCTTTATGTGTTGGAGACTCTTGGGAAAACTCGCAGAATCACTGAGAATCACGTGGGCACCGCACTTGCTGGCTACAATCCCTGGTAGGGCTGTTCCTGATCCCAACTCGAGAATACGTTTATTCAAAAGCTCCTGTCGGTGCTCCCAAAGATACCAGGCTAGTACTGGGGCTGAGGGCCAAGTGTAATAGCTATAACTGGCTTGAAGTAACTGGAAAAAAAAACTCAAATGTATCGCTTATCGAACAATTTATGGACCAATACTCACATAACCTTGTCGTTATATCTTTAAAAAATCGTCTCAACTAATCTCTTCATTTCTTCAAAAAAATTCATTCCCATCAATAATTTATCCCATAGAATAAATAATTCTTTCTACTCGTGATCCTCGAGATAAAGGATTAGGTGCGCTCTACTTTAGTTATCCTTTATTGAAAAAAGCATTGACTTGAAAGTGTCATGGGGCGGTGAGCCGAAGGATGCGTACTTATGCGAACGTTCATGAGTACGCGTACGGGATGGTAGATGGCAGAACGAAAAATAGTTCAGCACCGCTCTTTGCCCCGATTTCTTACAAATACGCGCGCCAATTACAAGCGAAACATTCATGTAGCATAAAAAAACGTCTTCATTAAGACGAATGAAAATGTGTCCTTCGATAACGAATTAGTGAAAAACGTCTTTTCCAATTTCATTCTGGAAGATAATATGCATGACTTACGAGATGAAGCTGAAATTACTGAATTCATACTATCTGTTGGAAATATAAATGACTACAAGATATATCTAGGAGATGAGTATATAGATGCAGATATCACAGTGGACTTATATGGTGAGGTGATCAAGATAAAAGAATTTGATAAATTAACCAAATGGGCGATTTTTCTAACAAGAAATATTAATGCTGACGATATCAATCGAAGAGTCCTTGAACTGTTGGACACATCAAGGCATTATGTCCTTAATGTTTACCACTTCATGAATTACGATTGAGGATTAACATTGTCCTAACGCTAATTAGAAACCTTTCTATAGATAAAGGATTATGTAACTCAGTGCGACTACTGATTTTAGATTTGACGAATCATTTATTGTAATGCCGAATTGTGACTGGAGATAAAACGAGAAATTGTTTTCATTAATCGTATCACTTTGTATAGTGAAGATGATCATCCTTTTGCCTGTTAAATTGATGTTCTTTATGATAATGAATAAGTCAAAGGGACGAACTTTCAAACAAATCGAAATTGATCTCAGGCGCGTTGTTTTCGATCATGGACAACTTTATGTTTCCTTACACGTGTTCGTTCATGAACCCCTCTGAAAATCAACCTTGGAAGGTAAAAAAAGTGATATGATAAAAAAGACATACTATAAAAAATTATGTATGTACAGAATTATTCGCAGAAAAATTACTTATTTTAATGAGTAACTTTCAAAACATCAATTCTCATTCTCATAAACTATTTTCAAATGCATTTGAAAATGGGAATTGCATCAACGGCGCCCGTGTGATAAAAATTGATAAAAATCATAAACGTGGTCGGATCTAACCAAAAAATTGGCGTAATACCAGAAGCAACACGGTTATCCTCGAATTGACGCCCCACGAACAATTATTCATCAAGACGAATGATGTAACTCACCTCTGGTATGTAAATCTCGAGCGACTCGTCGTGTTGCCCGGACTCGTGTGATCGTCGAGAGGTGAAAAAAAATTTTTTCACTTGCTCGGCGGCGACTCCATCGGACATTAGGCTGTGCGCGGATGAACTTGTGTCGTACCAAATGCTTTCCTCTAAACCTGGCATCACTGCGTCCTAAACTTAGCATTATTATTCAATCCCCGTATTTTATCATAATTGTACGATTTCACCCTATTGCAGTCATTGATTTATTGCAATCTCGAATAATAGCTTTTGCGAAAAAAATTTAAATTGGAATTTATTTTGTTGAGAGTTGTCACCTGCGCGATACGTTCTGCATAGTTCCGGATTGCGAGTGGGGGGAATGGACGCGGATTCATGGCATTTTTACCATCAAGAGGTCATAAATATTTTATATATTTCCCTAGAGATGGCGTGAATTGTTTTAAATAAGTCGATATCTCTGAATCGATATTGCTATTTTTGTGCCGCTCAGGCGTCTGGATAAGGCTAAACCGAGATCACTCGTTTCCTTCCTTGTAATCGCCACCGCTACAATTAACTCACTTTATTAAAATCTATCTCGGTTTTACATCCGTTCATGATGTCAGGCTGCTCTCGAAGGAGGAAGCAAGTTGAAGATGTAAAAATAAAAACTGGCATGATCTGTGTAAAGTGCGGAAATACTAATTGTCGTATGGCTCACGCGAATCATGCAAGACCGGATGTCATGTGGTTTTTTGTTTCACTATCTCTTGATAATTTTTCGCTGTCCTGCTAATTCGATCAGATCGGTTTATTTACGTAATGGATCAACTACAGCGGGAAATATCAAATATCCCCGGTTTTTTTTTGCCAATCGCGTTGTTTTTATGGGAGTGATTAATCATTCCTGGTACACATTTCTTGCATCTTTTAATAATAATCGAACTATTAATAATCGAAATTTCCAGAACAAAATACGATGGCTTTCCTCTTTAATTTATAGTCGGATCACTTTAACAAACAAGCAGTTGGCCATCCTAACGGTAGAAGACATACGATTGTTACTTCACATATCATTTTTTTTTCTCATTTTATTTTGCCATCAATTTCATTGATGGTTGGCTTCCGAATGGAATACATGTAAGCTCTCAGGATTTTATTTGAACCAAGCGGTATATATATTTTGACTGCTTGTTATAGCTGACATCGAGACCAATACTTTGAGAGAAAAAAGAATCATATCAGTTGGATAGTTTTTGAGATATTCCAGAAATTAGATCTACAAACGGATGAGAATTTCTCAAAAACGGCTGGATCGATTGGGCTGAAATTTGGCACAGAGTTAGTCGTCATTAATACCTATTAATTAATTCTACAATTTTCAGAAACATGACCACCAGCTGGACATCCGCACATACACACGGTGTAATCAAACTTTATATTTTTACGTTTCAAACCATTCTACATCGTTTCCACCAAAATTAAAAAATCTAAAAATAGATCGATTACAATACTTCCATTCGGAAGCAAAAAACTCAATTTTTGATATTTCATATGGGAAATATTTTCGACGTTAACACGAACAAGCAACTCGTAACAGATCGCAGGGGATAATGAAAACACTTAAGCTATTTATAATCGAAATAGCCCAACACTAGCTCACATTATATAGAATCTTTAACTAAAGTTTAATTGTTAAAAATAAATGAAATATCGAGTCATCTAATAAAATTGTTGCAGATATTATTTCTTCGACATTCAATGATAACATTACCCAAACTGTAAATGAGAATTAAAAACAATAGCGATGTGTGGGACTTGGAAATCAAGATTCTGGAAATTAAAAATTAAAAAATGTTTAACGGTGCAGAATAAATCAAGAAGAGATTTTCTCAAACGTAATCTACAGCACGGAGAAATAAGAAAATAAAATAAAAACAAATGGAGATAAAATACGGGGAGTGAAGAACTTAAGGAGAGCCGTCTCCTCTTAATTAAAGGTAATTCCTCTGGATAAGCAGCTGGTACTCGGGGCACGAGTCTCTGCACTGTCGAATGTGTGCGGTTTTTCAACGTTGAGCAGAAAAATAAAATTCGCTCCTGCAAGTCTGCAGCACGCGCTCTACCACGAGTTTCGCCCATTGCCATTCCCCATTGAATATTCCCCTAACACCTACGTACCACCTACGTCGCGAGACGCGCCGTTACGACGACCCCAGGACAGCCACAAACCTACGAGTTCTCCAACCGTACCAACTCCAAAGACCTTTGACCTCCGGTTGCAATTCTGTTGATCATTTAATCGTGGCCAAAACAAGTTTTTTTTCCTTTTTTTGATATTATTTTTCCAGAGATAATCAGCATTGAAAATTGGTGAAAATTTGTTGCAATACCCAGCATCAGATTATTCTTGGACCAGCAATGATAAACATAAACGGTAAAAGCCCTTTTAATGTCGATTGAATACCCGGGCAAAGCATGCGCGGACGATCTCGCAGAAGCAAAAAGATTGGAGGAGTGACAATGAATGGATTCTCATCATGAAATCCAATTCTTTGTATTTATGGGAATCCTGAGAGGCTGAGGGCGGAGTTCGTAGGGTGCAGGTGTGTGCATGGGAGGCCAGGGTAACGTGGAGCTAACCTGTTGCACGTGGGCCCTTTTTTGCCCTTATTACAATAGTTGAACCCCATGGATTCTTATGGATTCGATTGAAACCCTCATTCTTCACCAGCTGCTTTTTCTAATTTGTGAAGGGCGGGAATCACTGTACGACGGACATGTCATGCATTCAGAGAAAAGAAATATCGGAATTACAGATGGAAGTGAAAATATTACTGAATCATTTGCCTCCTTGTATTGATATTTGTTGTCAAATTAGATAACTCTTTCCCCAATTCATGTTCGTTCTTAACTCGTTATTTCTCGAAAATTGTGGATGTTGGGAAGAATAAGATATAGGTTTTTTCTCAAATGTATTTTATATAGTGGTCATCGAAGTGGAAGTCGAAAAATAATCGTGATTATTATGATTTTTTAAAATATTTTAGTCTTTAAGAAGAAGCGGAAGAAGAATTGCATCCTATATAGTCTTCTTGAGTTTTTGACGCTTTGAATTTTCCATTGCAATTTATTCTTAATTTTGAATGCTAGGCTGACAAGGAGAGAACATTTAATAATTCTTGTCTTTCACTCAAAGCATTCCTCCATAATTCTCGGTATTCTTTACTGCTCAATGTCTTTGCATTAAGAAATGTTTCCCTCTAGAGATAACTTATTTATTTTACGTTTCGGCATTGTCAACGTTTTTTCAAAGTCCACAATCACGTCGGACCTTGTCAAGTGGTTTTATGAGACATTTCTTCGTAGTGGATACAACGAAGATGAAGAAGCAGAAAACGGTTAGAGTAGAACCTGCTTCTGTTGATATGGAAGCACGAAAAGCCGAGTTTTGTGGAACAATAATAAAGTCTCGGGACGCCATAGGAATACTTTTTTGCATTTCATCTTTTTTTTTTCTTTTTAGATTATCCAAGTTGGGAGCTACCTGCTTCTTCCTCACACTTTCGGTATTGTTCAGGACACGGGGTGTCGGTCTCGGGATTATTTTCTTTCTCCTAGGAATACTAAAACTTTAACGACTTCTGAAATTGTTTCTTCACATTCACGTAGGAATACTGAATTCTGTTCTAAAACAGGAAGTGCTTTAAATATTTGATTTTTTTTTGCTTAAATATCGAAGAGCTTCTTCATGGGAGACTGCCCTCAATTTGCAATCGATTCCACGCAAATGAGAAGCCCCAGAATGGCAAGATACCTCGGAGGAATGCGTTAATTCAAGTTTCAAGGAACCGGAAGATTCGTTGGCCCATCCACGAAAGTCACTCTTGCAGAACACAGCTTGATCGATGGATATCCATTGTCATTGAAGCCACTCTCAAATGTAAACACTTGTTGGATATGAAAGAACCCTCAAAATCACAAGTGGATGGTCATCTTTTCTTCCTTCACATTGTTCCCTCAAGCCAATATATATCCTAGTCACGTATCCCGTGCGAATAAAAAATCCACGCTGCATCATTTATTTCTCTTCATAAAAAATAGGTTGACATTCCTCCAACTCGTCCCCAGCTTCATTATTCCATGATATTCATAATTCCCTCTTCTGAATACAACCCGCGTCCTAACAACAATTTTTCTTATGTTTATTTTTTGTCAGAACATTTTCTAAATGAGTTCCATGACTCTGGACCTCTACCAAAAACATACTCAAACATTTTCCACTGTCACTGGCAGGCAATTAGGTTATCGTAAAAAGCCCACAAGGTATAGAGAAGAAAGATGTGTTCCAATGGGTTGGGGTCATAATGGACCGATCCACGAAAAAACCCGTATAAACCTGGCGTCAGCAATATTGAAAAGAAAGAAGAGGAAAAAGACGCTCACAACGGGGTGGCCCTTGTTACTTTTTCCTTTTTTATTTTCTCTTCTTAGTGCTTTTTCTTTTTTATTTTTCCAACTTCTTGTTGGTTAGCTGCTGGAGTGCAACACTAGGAAGCCTCAGTATCTCATTTATATCTACCACTGTTGGGGATATCGACGAATGCATTTATCAGTCAATGTGAACTAGCCTGTGATACAGATACACAGTCATAAATTACTTTTAACCGAGTAAGTGCAGAGCGCGTGTTATGCCTGGATTTTGAGTGCACTCAAAGTTTTGGGATTCGTTATTCATATGCAAGGTAAATATATTTTTTTATTTTTATTTTTTCAAAGACATGGGGGATAATTGGAAGGATTCGGAAGATGGTTAAGAAGCAGTTGGCGCAATCACTTTGGCTTGAGCGATATAAAAAAAAAGAGCTGAGAAATTCGAGATGGATTTTAAAGAGCGAGGGGCAGAGGGAAGAGGAGAGGAGAGTAAGATGTGGCGGAGGTCTTTGTGAGGATGGTCGTTCTATAGCGGTTTTGAGACTCATCGAGATTCACCGCTGCAAGGAAGAATTTTTTTTTTATAGAATACCCAAAAAGGGAAGATACGGGTGAGGAGTGAAAGAGAGGAGAGGAATCACTGACACACCTACGCCCCGGAGGCCCAGACGAAGACTACCATTAATCCCCAAGGTTGCATGAGTCCTCGAATATCACGATATTTTCTCTTACTCTGCATAATATCACTCCGAGGCACTCTTCAAGAGAATTATATATATATGTATATATATATATATATATTTTGTTCAGTATGTATACCCTTTCGGGCTTTTACATTTTGTTCCCTCCCCTGCTTCCCTTAATACAAATTAGGTAAAGTGAGTTAGTTATAAAGTTATAAAT